CGCAAGGTCTGACACCCAGACGCACCGTACCTGACCTTCAGACAGATGCATTTGCATATGGTCAAACGAATGTAGTTTACTTCGTTACTGCTGTAAATGAAGAGTGACTGTCTGCAGGCGAGCTCAGCGCAGGTATGAAGCATTTACAACACGTTATAATCTACCGCGCTCACTTATTTCACAACCTGAAACGTGAAGACAGACTTAGGGATCCGACTATGTTCAGAAGTACACAGCTCAGAAGCCTATTAGGGTAAATGTCCTCAAGTGGACCAGTATACTATGACACGAACACCAAGGACTATTTAAGCAGGACAACCACCATCAAGGTCCCAATGAAAACTACACGAGGATCTGTGTTTCAGACTATATAAATAACCGTTCACTGCGAGTGCACCATCTCCTTCGGAAGCATAGATCACGTTTCGATCTTACTTGAGAGCTAAGTGATGTACAATTAATGATTATAAACGGAGAGATATCACTGAAATACTTACCAGTGAACCCGGCACGGAAGCCTTCATATCCTCATCAGTCATGATGAACTGATACGATTCGATGGCTGCTCCGATACTACCTGCTCGAAAGAGTGCATAACACTATTGCTGGTTCGCGGTCTATCACAGGGACTTGAGGTCCCACTCAAAGAGCTGCGGAAAATACACAGTTGAGCATGAAGGAATTTTCGGTTGCGTCATATCAGCATACCACGACAAATTCATTGTATGTCAAATGAATTGATGATTTGTAAAATGAAATGCTGGCATTGACGGCAGCAGTGAAGTGTTCAACAGCTTCATTATAGTGCGCGCCATCCAAGGCCATGTTTCCCAGTCGAACCCGTAGGTAGGCCTAGTGTACGATAAGAAGAAAAATCAATGACATCACACGGATTTAGCATGTTTGAGTGCATGGTACTTACCTCCACGATACGACAAGCAACAGGATCAACATTGGGACACGCACTTAGCTCTCCGATGTGCAGCATTGCCTCTTGACATTCATTTGTATTGAACAACGCAATGGCAATGGCCTAAAAACAACAATGAAGCGTATCGAGTATGCTAGAAAAATATCACCTGCCTTGATCAAGAAAAAGGAAGTGATCGGTGACTAAATCTTGGTTGGTGAACATGGACGCAAGGTCAAATGATATCCTTGCAGCCAGAACCTGCTTTTTGCCGCAGAGAATAATACCCTTGGAGATATGGACTACTAACAATGGCTCGGAATGCTGACGAACTATAGCATTGTCAAAACTAACTTTTGTAAGGATATCAAGATAGGTCTGTCAGCCTCACCTGACTTGAAGCGCTTGGTTCCAGTTGCATTTTCGCGCCATAACAAATGCGCGATTAGCATAAGCGAGGTGATTATCTGCTTCAATGCCGATATCTAAATTTAGCACCTTTTCAGCGGTAGGCAGGTCCCCAACTATGCACGCACCGCGGACTGTTGAATTCACAGCGAGGACCTGCGTAAATCATGTTCATATTGCGTTATAAGAGTCGAAGATAGGGACATGCCTTGAAATCAGAGTAGGCTTGAGCCTTGGCATAAAAAATATGTTTAGACGTCAAATAGGCGGGAAATGAAAACAAACGTGCCTGTTGGGTCGCCTGTTCTTTCATGAGGCCATCTTTTGCACCATCATCTGGCAAAGCTCGGATATTGGCCACTCTGATATCTTTTTATCCACACCTCCTGAAAATGTGCTTGTCATCCGCAGAGAACGTAACACAGTTCACCCCTCCAGAGTGCTTGAATATAGCAATGGTTCGTTGACCTGAGTCGCCAGAGGCGGACATGGTTGTCATGAGATGCAGAGGTAAGAAGAGTGCCGCTAGAGTTCAGAGAAAGATATTCTTGGAATGGCCCTTCCAGGGATCGCCGACCTGTTGCAGTCGATGATACATCCCACTCTCGGATGGTGTGATCAGCCCCATTGCCCCCCGAGAGTAGCCGTGAGCAATTGCATGTCCATGCGAGTGAGTAGTTGAATCCTTCATCAATCTTTGTCCTCAATTCGGTGGGGAATGGACATACGTCCAAGTCATCGTAATTTGATTTGTAGTAGCGCTGGCCATGGTAAATTCGGACATTGTGGTCCGTTGCAATCGCAACTTGATAGCGGCTTTTACCGCCTGGATGATATCTAATAGCATACGGCGAATACCGAACGCAGCGGACAATTCCACCACAACCGAGTGAATGCTGTACTGTCCGTGTTGATGTGCACCATAGCTTCGTGGTGGTGTCAGATAATCCACCGGCCAGCGCCTTAAGATCCGAAGAAAAGTCAAGTGAAAATAATCAGCCGTCGTGGGCTTTCTTGATTGCTTTGTTGACTTGAAGCAGTTCCCTGGTTGTTCCGTACGGACGGTACCAGGCGATGAGCTCTCCGCTCTCATCACCGCTTACTACCAAATTCCCATCTGGTGAAACAGCCAATGCTCGCACCCGACTGCGATGGCCCTCCATCTTCTTCAACATTAAGCCTGTTTTCGAGTCCCACAGGCGAAGCATCCCATCATACGAGGTCGTGACCATGTGTTTGTCCTGGAGGGCTGCGACTGCGATCACGCAATCCCCGTGATCTTCAAATGTACGAATGGGTGTGGTGTTTGGAATGAGCGCCGCCATGACATTAGTGAAATGTAGCACAGTGGTGGACTTCAAGTTGATGTGTGTGTGGATATGCACGGTGTCTTAGTCGAAGTTGGAGAGGTGCGTGTGATGAGGCGTTTTGAACTTGCTTCGTAACAGTTTGAACCTCTCACTAGACCCCAGAACATGGGGCTATTATCGAAGTACCCTACTGGATGATCTAAACAAATGATCTCACTTGTCCAAGCCGTGTCGCCGCAACTTTCCACATCAGTCGACAGACCTAATCGTGGTTGTTTCAGGGGGTCCACATGGCTGATAGGAAGACAATATAGCGATTCACCTGATTGGCCATGCCCCCGAATTTTCATCAAGTCGTCACCCAAAGATGTGATATTCCACCCGGTGACATGTTGAGCTTCTGTTCCCTGGAACATTCGTAGCGGAGATCCTACGGTCGTGAGGCTTCCTCCGGTCATCGGCATCATGGCCTGGTGTGATTTATTATTAGCAATGAAGATAATCAATCGTTTCAAATTCTCATTGATGATCGTCAGGAGACGAGTCTTTCTAGTACTCACAACAAACTGAAAAACCATCGAATCAGAACATGTTGACAACATTCACAACTGCTCACAGAACCTCGAGCCCATCTGACCTTGGACGAAACAGTAACAACTACATGTCGACAACAACTTTGCATTGGCGTCTTTAGTGTCTATGGTCGAGCAATCATTTGACATCATGAGGCTTTACACACCCAATGCAAGATGTTCAGAGACGCACTGACAGGATTTGCAATCGTCGATATTTCACACTAGTAAGTTGGGTATTGAACACCATCAATTCTCAAACTGCTAGCAAAAGCCTATGGTGCGGTTTATCTCTTATCTCTAGCTATTACTTAAATGCTAATTCTGGACATAATGGTTTTCAATAGTAGTAACAACATATCGGATATGGTGTAATGGTTAACATTACCGCCTCTCATAATGTAGCCGCGCGGTAGCTCGGGGTTCGATTCCCCGTATCCGAACTTTTGTTTTTGTCTGCTGACGCGCCACATTCCTCGAGCGTCTTTTCGAAAGTTAACTTACTAAGTGGCTACTACCACATCCCGCAAGTGGTGGTCGGTCTCCTTTTAGATTCTCAAGTCATCTAATGGTGACAGGAACTCATGATTCATGAAGTCATTCTTGGCCTTCTTGAAACTTAAACAACTTGGATGCACCACAAAACATCGTTAGTGTCTCGTTAACCGAACGCGTTACAATATGCGAAATTTGCGCTGGATTATACGTGCAGGGTACTATATTTACATGCAAATACTGAGGGGATTTTCTTTTAGGCTGTATTTATACTCGGGCCTGTTTCTGCCAGTGTACGAGCCTCCCGCCGTGATCCAGTCGCCCGACAGCGTCCTAGACCCGAGACCACGTAGACTTAATCAATTTTGACGTCGATACACGCCATAGGCAGTAAAGCATTCGTATGTCTTGATCAAGGCTTTGCACATTTGAAAAATACAACTTATTCCTAGCTGAGCAGGTTGCCACGGTTACTTTCAAGTTGGCTAGGTACTTATGAGTTCCGAGGCGAGGCTAAGTCGCCAAGTACTATGTATATCATGATATAAACGGAAGACCCAATAGGAGTCCTACAGGCTGCTTATGAACATGTGGACGTCCAGTTGTCTTGCAGGATATGCACCAGACCGAAAACTCATCTTGGTGTAACGGCACTGTGACCGTATGTGCTGCTTCAAGAAATCAAGCAACCAAGTTCTCTTATTGCGCAATTCATCGTGCTCATTGTTCTGTAACACAATACATATCTCATGTCACCATGCACCTTTACTGACAAGCAGTCACTTCTCCGGTTTCATACTTTCGTTCCCGAGGTTCTGAAGTGGAGGTCGTTGTTCCGATACTTGATGTGTTATGCTTACTTGCAGCACCAATGTGTACATTCCACAACACACGACAGGGCGTTATTTGGGTGGATAACCCCTTCATTGGTTTGGCGATTTGACTACACATACAGGAAGCCCAGCTGGAACAATATGGTTAGCGAGTGCCCTCCTTTTAAAGTGCGATTTTGATCAGTAATCGTTTCAAGTCTCTTGCGATCCAGACATCGCCCAGCTGCAGACTATAAGACGTTTAAACTTGATGTTAATGGTTAGCTTGATGTTGAAGGACGCGTGTGAGTTTGGTCGACGTTCGTACACTTTCAAGATTAAGCTTGCATTAAAGCCATTGCATTTGTATGCATGGCGTATTACGAACAAGCAGTCGGGCACAATGATTTCAAGACCGCTCCAGAAGATGGGCTCATGTATGTCTCGGACCCTCCGACGACGATGATCAGGATCCAGGCAGAAGGTCATTACATCGGATATGGTGTAATGGTTAACATTACCGCCTCTCAAACTTAGTGTTCGCGGTAGCTCGGGGTTCGATTCCCCGTATCCGAAATGAAGGTCAATTGAGTTTTTTCTTTTAGCAGAAAAATACATCATGGCAGCTTCGTCAAGGCGATCGCGGGTCCATTCCACCAATCGACTGGCTCTTCTTGCCATAAGTTAAAAGTAACAAAACCGTATTTTAGGACACAACGTAATGATCACGTGATGCATGCAAAGATTGAACGCGTGAACTTGGACTTGAACGCGCGCTGCTAGTTATTCACCAGCACCACTGTCGACTCTGAACATGGCAAGCGGTCGTCGCTCTCCTTCTCCGGAACCGCCTGGACCTCAACCAATAAGGAGACTTCACGAGTCCCTTATTAACCGAATCGCAGCGGGCGAAGTACGCACTAGGTTAATCGCGGCACAGACGCGACTAACTCCTGATAAAATTCACCTCTAGATAATACACAGGCCTGCTTCTGCGCTAAAAGAGCTGCTGGAAAATAGCCTCGACGCAGGGTCTACTTCAATTCAGGTGATCGTCAAGGATGGTGGTATGAAGCTGCTTCAGATTCAGGACAATGGTTGTGGCATTCGCGTATGTCCTGCTCATATTCGCATCAAAGTATCCCATTGAGCTTGTTTGAAGAAAGAAGACCTTCCCTTGCTCGCTGAGCGTTTTACTACCTCAAAATTGACTACTTTTTCGGACCTCTCCAAGCTGACTACTTATGGGTTCCGAGGGGAAGCTCTGGCATCTATATCCCATGTTGCGCACCTGACAGTGATCACGAAGACCAAGTTAAACAACTGTGCCTGGAAGTATGGATATTAATAAATTCTGCACAGAACGAGAACATTCATCTAACAAGAATCCCACAGAGCTGCTTACGTTGATGGCAGCCTCGTCCCGTCGAAGGTGGGATACACACCAGATCCGAAACCTTGCGCTGGAAACAACGGAACTACCATCATAGTATGTCCCTGAGAAGTCAAACCACTCTCTCTCATCACTCAATCCAGCACAGATTGAAGACATGTTCTATAACACACCTACTCGAATGTCCGCTCTCCGAAGCTCCTCCGAAGAATACGCGCGAATACTTGATGTAATGACCAAGTATGCTGTACACAATTCCAAAGTATCATTCGTCTGTAAAAAGGTATGTTGCTTCAAATATTGCCAATAATGCGTTATAACGCGTCGTGTAGGCTGGTTCGCTAAGTCCTGAACTCTCGACCCCATCCAGTTCAGATACATCTCAGGCCATTCGTCAGCTATATGGTAATTCTATAGCTAAAGAGCTTCTGCACGTCACGGCGTCTTCTGTTTCAGATGATAGCACGGACGTGGATGATTCGGAAGATCCGGAAGCATGGTCGGCAGAAGTATATTTCACTAACGCAAACTACCAAGGAAAGAAGACTGCGCTCTTGTTATTCATTAACCGTCAGCTTCTGCTTTCCTTGTATTACTATGTTACAAAATCTTATGCGTATTTCATGCAGATCGTCTAGTGGAGTCACATCGTATAAAACGGTCTATTGAGGGCATATATAGTGGTATACTACCGAAAGGTTCTTCTCCTTTCGTGTATTTGAGGTAAGACTGAATCCTACCAGTGGGATATCAATTGATAATTTGCGCAGCATCAATCTCGACCCGAGGTCTGTAGATGTCAATGTACATCCGACCAAGCGCGAAGTCCACTTTTTGAATGAAGAAAGTATTATTGAGCGAATATCGGATGCCATTCAGCAGAAGCTTGCAGGTCAAAGTCAGTCGCGGGTATTTGAGTATCAGGTACATCGAAAAAATATACGCTACACTCGTACTTTATACATCTTCTTTGACAGACACTACTCACTGGGGGCATCGCACAGTCAGGATCACGGAAGGGTAAGGAAAAAGCAAGCAATGTCGATGAAGTGGAAGAAGATGGTGGAGGACCCGAGGATGATCGCCGGGCATCAGGAAGTCAATGTAAGCGTTTCCACAAATCTCAGGCGAAGGCGAATATCATTTTAATCCTGTTCAGTGGCGAAGAAGGTGCTTTCCCAGCACAAAGTCCGGACCTCTCTACAGGACCGCACACTAGACTCGATGATTCCGGTTGCTGACCCGTTAAGAACCGACTCCGACGAGCCCATAACAGCCATCCGGTTACGGGACATCAAAGAATCGACGTGCCAGTTCACATCTATAACAGAACTCAGGCGGCTTACTACCAAGCGCATACACCACGGTGAGCTATGCTTTTTTTTTTCACAATGAAATGTTCTTACATAAAATGTAGACCTGACTGAAATTATCAAGAAACACACCTTTGTCGGCGTGATTGACCTATCCAGGTGTCTCACGTTGATTCAACACAACAAGAACCTTTACATGGTCAATCATGCTGCACTAGCGTGCGTCACTGAGCTTCTTCGAAGGTTTGCGTTGATGTAGTTATCACAGGGAGGAAATGTTCTATCAGCTTGCGTTGTTGCAATTTGGAGACTACAACCGACTTAAACTTGATCCCCCTCCATCCCTTCGGATGCTCGTCAAGTTTGCAGTCGAGGTGGAAGAAGACACAGCGCGCAGTGGCATGAGCAAGGACGAGATTGTCGATGTATGATCAAATTCCAGTACTTTGACAGATCCGCTCAACGTCCTTTCACAGCGAATAGTTAAGACTTTGATGGATCGCCGGGAGATGCTGCTTGAATATTTCTCCTTGGACATTTCAGAGACTGGCGATGTTAGGACGCTTCCGCACCTCCTTCGCGAGTACACCCCTAATCTCGACAAGCTACCCATGTTCCTCATGCGTCTTGGGCCTCAGGTACGTTCCAACGACATATTGTCATTCCACGATACCAAGCTGTCTTAGGTCCTCTGGGAGTCTGAACAAGAGTGCTTTGGTTCATTCATGCGCGAGCTAGCATATTTTTACTCCCCAGCCCCGCTGTCCATCGTCTCAGCGCCTGCCTCTGACGACAATGAGCAAGAAAGGCATAAATCTGAAACATGGCGCGTACAAAATATCCTATTCCATGCAATGCGCAAGTACCTGGCAGCTCCCAAGTCCCTGTTGGATAATGACGTCGTGCAGGTGGCAAGCTTACCAGACCTCTACCGGGTCTTTGAACGTTGTTAGACTTCGTAATCATACTATCCGTGAACGCTGGTACAGCTGCTATAATAGTGGTAGTCAGAGTGAATGATTATGGAGCGATTCTGCGTGTGATTATGAGACGATTCGAGAACGGATTTCAACGTTATTCTCGTTAGACACGGACTTGGATATACAAAGTGGACATTTTATTTCATTACCGCAGAACTATATTGTATGCTCACTCCCATACCTCGATCATGAATAAGCACGTTGAGGAATGTGTGAATTTCCTGATGCGGTCAGCCGCACGAACTACCAGTCAGCGGTATGCACTTACCATTTCTCACACATACATAACACTGGGCTGCCACAAGCACCTGCACCAGGTCCCTCCCACCATGTACACCACCGAACCTCATTCTCGACGACACAATGTCCAATGTGACGAAGCCAATCAACCACAAGATGGCTCTACCAGCCAACCTGTGGAAAACCCTGTTGCCGCTGAGGGATCTAACGCCGCGCAAACCGCTGACAGCCTAGGCCCGGGACCCGCCAAGGAAGCCATCCAATGCCAGACTAGTGAGAATGTCCCTTGCATCCAAGTGCTATCACCACCAGAGGACCACGGCTTCAAATCAAGAACGTTCGAGACCGACCACATGCTATGCAACTCTCGCTATTCAAATCGTCACTCATTCAGTTTTCGTACCTTGTCAGTTGTGACGCCACTCCCTTGTGCCTCTGTCTTCACATAATCGTTCGGCTCATCCATCACCGAGGGCCCTTACCGTTTTCATTATATATACCGCATGTACATTCTCGTATCTACAAGCATGGCGGATAGCAAGGTGAATCTGATGCATTGAATTCCCCACTCACAGCGAAGCGAATCCTACAGTGAGATCCCTGCTCCAAGTTCGGCTGAAAGCCCTTTAGAAAGTCTTCGTCACTATCGCCTCTTACCTCTCTTATCTTTCCCTCTCGCTCTGTTCTCTTTTCCCCTTCGAACTACCGCAAACCTTACACTAAGCACTACCTTACAGGTGAATATACTTGCAACCATTATATAGATTCTGTTTCAGACACATTAGCGACACGGACTACTCAAGATGCCACAACGAATGCAAAGGCGAGTACAAGTACAAAATCTAACTATGTTTGCATAGAAGGTAAAGAAAAAACGAGCTCAAATCCGCCTTACGTCGACAACGGAGGCTCGAAAGTCTTATAAGACATGAGTTCAACAGCTCAGATGCTGTTTTTGAGAATGGAGACTTGTCCTTTTCAGATTTCAAGTTGGACTTCAATATCAGGCGATCTGACTATTACGCTGCCATTTCCACGGTGTTGTTCGACTAATCGTCTGGCCGACTGTCAACCGTTCATGTCATGCAGTGAGTGGACAGTATATCCATTATTTGACCCTGACTATATCTATAGATCATGACTGAGTGGGGACGCCAGCCTTCATATCGTCTTTGAATTTCGAAGACGATATGAAGACTGGCGTCCCCACTATACCCGTACTTGGTCCTTGGTTCTATACTCAAGACGAGGGCATTATTGACAGCTTGTCATGTGCTGGTTATGTTGGCCTTCATCAAAAACTAATACATTACGGAAAGCTGTCTATTTGCCGCAGCTCTGGTATGGATGCTTGGCGAACACTTGCCGAAAAAAAGTGTTCTTGTTTAGCTCTCATTCGCAGTCCTTGTTTATTACCTGGTATTTGTTGACGAGGCATATTTAGCTCCTATCGGCAGTATCGATAAAATATTAATGAGTACTTTGTCGATGTTTCTAGATGCAACTGGCTAATGAAGAATGTGTTCGTAATTAGTTGTGTAGATGATATCTTTCCTGTTGTCTCTCCATACTTACAGTGCTACCCTACCTAGACCTTGTATTTTCACTTGAGAGAGGGCCAGGCTGCGCTGATGGCAAGCACCTTGTGTG